TATGAAATGAAAGCTTAGAACCATATTACTGTCCTTTGCAACATGCATATTAATTAATGAGGCATACAAATATGCCACAATGAAACCTTTATCTAACATTTTTCCAGAATCATAGTGGGAAGTGCCCTATAAACAATGTGTGTATGCTCAGTAAATATTAATGGACTATTAATACATTTGAGGGAGCAGTTGTTTATTAGCAGTAAATATTAAAAAATGTGGTGGTCATGTATGGATTTTGCAATAAATAAAATACTTAGGGAATTCATTATAGCTTCTAATTTATAATTTTAGCCTCTCTCCTTTCTCTGAAAAAAAAAAATAATCAACATCAAAAGGCATCTAACTACTGTAAAAGTTTCTTTTTCATACATTTTATTTCATATAATCATACAAAACCTATTAGATACTCTATTAGAAAGATCTCAATGACACATGGATACAGATGTTCAATATATATCACTGACTATTGTCATCAATAAGGTAGGCTAAAAACATACTTCCAGAATTTCCTCTGATTTTGTCAGTGAATGTTATTGGTAAACTGCTAGCTTTACTTAAAAAGTCTTACACGTTTATGTAAAAAGATTTCTTTATTGAGTGCCATTTCATTAGGAGGTGTCCAATAGCTCAATGATTAAGTGTTCAGATTCTGAAGGTTGTTTGCTTGGGTTTGGATCCAATCTATTCAACTTATTATTTGTATGACCTTGGAAAGCTTATTTAACCTCTCTATGCCTTAATTTCTTCAACTATAAAGTGGGAATAAAAATAGTACATACATCATGTAGTTGTTTTGAGTTTTAACTTAGTTCCTATTTGTAACACACTTTGAACAGTGTCTGACACATAATAAGTACTATATATGTATGGAATAAATTAATCACCACTTGACTCATAGTGTTGAAAGCTACTGTATAGGAAACGTCACTGTGTGAAGCTATTTTAGTCTCCCATACTGATATTGGAATCAGCAATGAATTTGACCTGCTAATATTTTATCAAAATTTAATTAATGATATACATAGTATGTCTGCAAATGATGGAACTCTGAAATTTTATTCATGCATTTCCTAGATATGAGTTTAGAATTGTCTTTATTCTAAATAAACCACATCTAAAAACCTTAGTACTAATTAATGATTATTTCTAATTTACAGAGTCATTCAAAATCATGTGAATGAACAGTCAATATATTTGTGTAGAATTCAAATAAACAACATTTGAGAAAGCTTTGCTAATATGCACTAAAGAATACTACTGGTAAATTAATTTTTTTCTATATTGAATTTCTATAAGAGAAGTTTTTATCCTACAGCTATTATCATAGTGTACAAGTTGCTTTTTCAATAATAACTTGCAAATTCATCAACGTTGATAAATATTTCCAGTGCTTCAATTAGAGATTCTTATGATGGGAATTTGTTGAAACAGCTAAGATGTAATGGTAACAATTTTTAAATTTCTTTATATTTTGTATTATGATAAGAGGTTGTTCAACATTACTACTGTAAGGAAATCAGAGAAAATACATACTGCCCATGAATTTTGTAAGAGTTGGCTGGCAAGAAACTGGGTGGTATGTAAAAGTTGATCTCGGAATTCTCTGGGTTAGCAATTGTGGGGTCAATGTGACTAATGTCACGGAGAACAGTTGGCCAAGGAGAATTTGAGATATCCCAAATAAATTAACAGAAATGTACTAAAAAGATTGTTGTATTCTACACTGTATAATGAGCACATCAGACAGTAATATGTGATTCAACCTCACAATATATTTAGAAGTGTTACTTTTAATCTCAATATATATTATTTTTACTTTTTTAGCCTATATAATATCTGAAGATTCCATCAACATCCTATAACAAAGAGCAAATTTATTTAAAATTTAACCAGGTGATCATTTTCAAAAGCACCTTCAAAACCTAAAGCCATGCAAACATTATGCAGAATTGTCAATGGACTAAGAGTCAGAGGCAGAACACAGATTAACACTGGAAGATTAGATTTGAAGACCATATATAAATAAACTAAAATATTTTCTTTTTCAAAAAGGCTTTAATTGATAGAAATGCTTTCAATAGTCTCATAAGGAATAAAAGAAAGAAAAATGTTGTTTTTTATAGCTTCTCTTCACCAGGCACATGCCAATTTAACAAATCTAAACTCAGTTTTCTGTTTTGTTTCTATTTTCCCATTACTCTCTATACTATGATTTATTTTTGAAGAGATATAGTAAGAAAGAGAAGATGTATTTCTTGGTCTTATATTAACCCACTACTCAATAGTATAAACCTCTAGTTATATCTAAAATAGAATATTTAACTATGCTATTAAATTATTATTGAGCAATTTTTTGTGATGTTTTATATCAAGTGTAGACTATAAATACTTAATCATGCTTACCTGGAGAAGTCAAGCCCTTTAAATATCCAACAACATTAGTGACTGTTTTGAACTTTGTGACTGTCTGCACTTGCATGTTGACAATTCTTCCTTCTAAAAAAAAATAAAATAAAAGATGCTTGTTTCTCTATATTTTATCTTTTCTTAAAATATTCAAATGTATTTATCCAATACCCTCAGCAAAATAATTCAAAATAATTAAATTTCTGTAGATAACTAAAGTTATACTTTTTTGACAAATATTTATTCAATATTTTGTGGAGACTATGTTAGGTGCTTGTTATGCAATGATGACTAAGATGCAATTGCTAGCCTCATAGAACTGCAGAGCCATAATTAGGTAATTCTAAACTTCACATTTAATGCTACAATGGGGTTCAACATGAGAATACACAGAAGACTACCTTGGGGAGATGCGGCAACTTATACTTTTTAAGAAAGGAAATAAAATAGATCAGATAAAAACATTTCCAAAGAATGATAAGTACTTGTTTAATGTCAGAAAAAGAACATGTGAAAGATAATTTAAATTTTCCTGTATGGTTCACTGTTATTTTATCATTTTGAAAACTGCAAAAGTATTCCAAAAATTAAATAGATTCTTAAAGCTGTACATATTGGAGTCTTCATTTCTATCTGTTTGTAGTTCTCTCACCTGTATTCTAAATCTCCACCAATTGTTCTTCCTCTTTGAGTCCTTCTATTCATGTTTGATATTCGAAATTTTTGATGACGAATAAGTCAAAGACACAATACAAGGGATTCCAGTCACAGCCCTAAAGTGATCTTTAAAGGCCTTTAACAGTAACATGTTAATCCTGTATTTTATGGATTCTGGAAGTCTGAGAGATTTCTAAGGGGAGTTCAAAGTTAACCAGGTGGTCATGTTGGAGCAGGGTGTGGGTGGGTGGCAATTACAAAGCAGCTAATTCAAAATAGATAGCTTGTAGTACTGACAGGCCTCCAAATGTCACTTCTGATTTCTAGATGAAAATTGTTATGATAAATAAGTTGCTTTTATCTTGAATGTGCCGTACTAACAATTTCAGTGGAAAATCATTACAATGAATCTGTTAAAATTATAACTAAAAAAAGAGTAAAGAAACCCTGGAAGAATACTTGAGCTCCTCATGTGTGAAAAAGAAAAATGAAATATATTTAGAGCCCAGTATTGTGGTTTTAATTTAGATGCTATGTATTTTTGTTTGTTTTAAATTAACATAGCTTGTTTTTTAGACCAGCTTCAGATTGACAGAAGAGTTTAACAGAAAGTACAGCTCCTGAATATCCTTTCTCTCCTTCTCCCCCTATTATTAACATCTTGCACTAGTGTGATGCATTTGTTACCATCGATGAGCCAATATTAATACATTATTATTACTACAGTCCATAGTTTCCACTAGGGCTCATTCTTTGTGTCGTATACTCCATGGGTTTTGACAAATGCTTAATGACATATATCCAACATTACAAAATAGTCATCATATACATCATACACAACAGTTTCATTGCCCAAAATATTTCCTGTGGTTGACCTATACATCTTTCCCTTCCACCCTTCCTCTTGAGCCCCTGGCAACCACTGATCTTTTAAATGTCTCCATAGTTTTGCTTTTTCAAGAACATCATGTAGTTGCACTCATACATTAGTTTTTAAGGTTTCTTTAATTCTCTATTCTGTTCTTTCAAATAGTCTAGATAAGTAAACTTTAGATAAGGGTCATTACATA